GGTCGTCTAGTTTTGTAGGTTAATGAATTGCGCAGTCGGAACCTTTTAGAGTAAATCAACAGTCCACAAACGCTATTAAGATAAAATTATGGTAATATACAGAAATGGCTGTTAAGTGGCCGCTAATGGACTACAAATTATCTTCCGAGCATTTCCCAATGCCTATAGTCTCGTTGCGGGAGCCGAATCGGAGGACCACCTCGTTCTCAGCTTCAGAGATCTCGGACCGTTAGAATAGAATACGGTAAGGTGACGCGACCTTCCGCCTAATCCTAGGGATTTACTGATAAGCCCCAGATATCAGACCAGGTTACAATTTCAACAGTTCAATGTACCCGCATTGACGTAATGGAGGTACTGAAGGGTACCTAATTATCGAAACCGCGCTTTAATTATAATTACCGTGGATTGGGTAAACTTAACAACGTTTATCGCGGCGAACTGAGAATTAAATCCGGATGCTGACGGTGAGCGATAATTTTCGTGGCGACGGTATTTATTTAGATTTAATTACACGTGTTAATTAAGATAGTGTTGTTTCGAGCGTGATCCTTGTAAGTATTAGAAGCCACTATTTATTAAAGTAAAACGCACAAGCTTTTTCAATAACACTTGCATGAAATTGTTAATGAATAGCTCTGGTATGTTCATTATTCCATAAGAAGCCGGCGGTATAGGGGGTATGAAATACCCCCTCGTAATACCACTAGCGCTCGAAAATTTTGTGATAGTAGATAGTAGTAGGAAAATGAACGTTGAATCTGTTCTTATCCTCTTTAGAAGTAGGTATTCCATACGATCTCCCCCCAAACGTTCAATTCTAAGAGTATTCCAGACCCCCCTGTGGTATGTTCTCCCTCAAAACAATAATAGTTAATATTTCAAAAGGTTCAGCCCTAAGGGTTCTTATACAGTTCTTCTTCTTCTTCTTCTTCTTCTTCTTCTTCTTCTTCTTCTTCTTCTTCTTCTTCTCCCATAAGAATCGGGGGTGTGGAATACCTCCAGTAATACCCCTAGTGAACGAATATATTATGATAGTTCTAGGAAAAGGAACGTCGTATCTTTCCTTACTTTTCAGAGTGGAATTCCATACTCCCCAGACCCCCTGGTGCTACGTGCTCCCTCCAAACCTTCAGCCCTAAGGGCATTATAGTTTTTCATAATGGACGACTAATCTTTGTCGAGTAGGGAGTGTTCCTTGTCTCTCAGAATTGGGGTGTCTGGAAGGTATGGGATGCCTCCCAGTAATACCCCCAGTGCACGAAAAAATTTTGATAGTTGGGGGAAAAGGAACCCTGAGTGGTATTCCATACCCCCCAGACCCCATGGTGCTACGTTCTCCTGCATAACGTTCAGATCTATGGGCTCTCATTACAGCGATTTTCATAAAGGATTACCTACTCTTCCTCCAGTAGGGTGTGTTTCTTATCCTAGGCGGGTTTGGGAGTGTGGAATACCTCCCAGTAATACCCCAAGTGCACGAAAATCTTATGACAGTTGTAGGAAAAGGACGTTGAATCATTTCTTATTTTTCTGAGAATGAAAAGCCACCTAGCAATATTTTTTTGAAGAACATTTTAAAGAATTTCGGGCAAGCTTGTAGCCTTACCAAACGGCATTAAAACGGCACTAACCCACAGTTGTTTCAAATTGCATGCAAAGGCACCTAGGATATTTTTGAAGAGACTTCTAATAGTTTTAGACACATTTTTAGCGGCACTAAACGGCATTAATACGGCACTAACACACAGTTGCATAAAATCGAATGGAATATTTTGAAATAATTTCTAAGAATTTCTGAAATTCTTAGCGACACTACTGGCATTTATACGGACCGAACCCCTAGTTGCCTTGCGTCAAAGGAATGAAAAGACACGTATTCAGATTTTTGAAAAATGTCTAAAGTTTCTAACAAGTTTTTAGCGGCACCAAACGGAATGATAGCGATTCCAAGACTCCAACTCACATTTGCGGCCAAAGGATACTCAGGACATTTGTTGGAAAGATTATTAAGAATGAGGCAAATATTTAGAGGCACTAAACGGCATTACAATGGCACTAATCTGCCGTTGCACGAAAAGACAACTACGAATATTTTTTGAAAAATTTGAAAGAATTCTAGAGAAATTTTTGCGGCACTAAACGGGATAAGTACGGCACTAACTCACAGTTGCGTTACAGAGTATTCTACTCAGGATTATTTTTTGAATAATTTCTAAGCCATTGAGACAATTTATTAGCGGCACCAAGCGGCATTAATGCAATACTAACCGACAGCGACGTCAAAGAGAATGATAGACACCTAGGATTATTTCTTTATGAATTTGTAAGACATCAAATGGCACTAATACGGCATTAATCCACAGTTGGTTCAAACAGATTGAAATGACACCTGGGAATATACTTCTAAAAGTGAATTTTTAGAGGCACTAAACGGCATTAAAATGGCACTAACCCACAGTCGCGTCAAAGAGGATGATAAGACACCTAGGATTATTTTTTGAAAAATTTCTGAGGGTTCCAGACAAATTTTTAGCGGCACTCAGACAGCACTAATCTACAGTTGAGTAAAAGAAAATGAAAAGACAGCTAGGGATATTTTTTGAATAATTTTTTAGTGGCACTAGACGGCATTGATACGGCACTAACTCACATGTTGCCTAAAAGTAATGTAATGAGACATAGGAATTTTATTTGAAAAATTTCAATGACTTTCAAGTAAATTTTTCGTGGCACTAAATGGGATTAATGCAGTTAGTACTGTGGCGTCAAGATACCTAGAATTATTTGTAAGAGTTCCAGACACATTTTTAGCGACACCAAACGGCACTAATACTGCACTGATCCACAATTGCGCCAAATAGAATGAAAACACCTAGGACTTTATTGAAAAAATTCTAAGAATTTCCGCCAAATCTTTGGAGGCACTAAACGGCATTAACACGGTACTAACCTGCGGTTGCGTCGAAGAGAATAAAAAGACCTAGGAATATTTTTGAAAAATTTCTCAGAATTTCAGAACAATTTTTAGCTATTCTAAAGCGAATGGCACTAAGCCACATTTACGTCAAAGGGACTGAAAAGGCATATAGGGATATTTTCTGAACAATTTATGAACAAATTTTAGTGGCACCATATGGGATAAGTACGACACTAACCCACAGTTGCGACACGTAGAATGAGAAGACACCTAGGATTATTTTTTGAATAATTTCGACCACAAATTTCTAGGGGCACTAAACGGCATTAATACGGCACTAGCTTACAGTTGCGTCAGAGAGAATGAAAAGACACCGGGGCACATTTCTAAGAATTTCAGAAAATTCCTGTCGCGATCAATCCGCGACATCGTTTTTTGATGACCTTAGAATCAAGGCTGTGCACTTTCCATTTTTGAAATAGCTTTTTGCTGTAACTATTTTATGTAGTGATCCATTACTATCTTGGTTTCTTCAGTCCAAATATCAATAAAAAAATCCGTGTCGCGATCGATCTGCGACATCGTTTTTTGATGACAGAATCAATACTGTACACTTTCCATTTTTGAAATAACTTTTTGCTGCACCTATTTAATGTAGTGACCCATTACTATCTTGGTTTCTTCAGTCCAAATATCAATTAAAAAAATCCGTGTCGCGATCGAGCTGCGACATCGTTTTTTGATGACCTTAGAATCAAGGCTGTACACTTTCAAATTTTGAAATAGCTTTTTGCTGTAACTATTTGATGATGTAATGACTCATTACCATCTTGGTTTCTTCAGTCCAAATATCAATTAAAAAAATCCGTGTCGCGATCGATCTGCGACATCGTTTTTTGATGACCTTAGATTCAAGGCTGTGTACTTTCCATTTTCGAAATTGGTTTTTGCTGTAACTATTAATTGACGTAGTGATCCATTATTATCCTGGTTCCTTCAGTCCAAATATTAATAAAAAAAATGTGTCATGATCGATCCGCGACATTGTTTCTTGATGACCTTAGAATCAAGGCTGTACACTTTCCATTTTTGAAATAGCTTTTTGCTGTAACTATTTGAAATGATGTAGCGATCCATTACTGTCTTGGTTCCTTCAGTCCAAACATCAATAAAAAAATCCGTGTCGCGATCAATCCGCGACATCGTTTCTTGATGACCTTAGAATCAAGGCTGTACACTTTCCATTTTTGAAATAGCTTTTTGTTGTAGGTAACTATTTGAAATAGTGATCCGTTACTATCTTGGTTTTTTCAGTCCAAATATCAATAAAAAACTCCGTGTCGCGATCGATCTGCGACATCGTTTTCTGATGACCTTAGAATCAAGGCTGTACACTTTCCATTTTTGAAATAGCCTTTTGCTGTAACTATTTGAAATAGTGATCCGTTACTATCTTGGTTTCTTCAGTCCAAATATCAATAAAAAAATCCGCGTCGCGATCGATCTGCGACTTCGTTTTTTGATGACCTTAGAATCAAGGCTGTACACTTTCCATTTTTGAAATAGCCTTTTGCTGTAACTATTTGAAATAGTGATCCGTTACTATCTTGGTTTCTTCAGTCCAAATATCAATAAAAAAATCCGTGTCGCGATCGATCTGCGACTTCGTTTTTGTGATGACCTTAGAATCATGGCTGTACACTTTCCATTTTTGAAATTGGTTTTTGCTGTAACTATTAATTGATGTAGTGATCCATTACTATCCTGGTTCCTTCAGTTCAAATATCAATTAGAAAAATCCGTGTTGCGATCGATCTGCGACACCGTTTTTTGATGACCTTAGAATCAAGGCTGTACACTTTCCATTTTTGAAATAGCTTTTTGCTGTAACTATTTGATGTAGTGATCCATTACTGTCTTGGTTTCTTCAGTCCAAATATCAATAAGAAAGTCCGTGTCGCGTTCGATGTTCGACATGGTTTTTCGATGACCTTAGAACCAAGGCTCAACATCGAAAGAGCCATACTCGAAATACTCTTCGGAGCTGAGTCTGATTAATAATCCCAAATTATTGTTACAGATCAATGGTTTCAACGTTTCGAAAAGACTGACTCGAGTGTCAAAAGGATGTCCTGCTAGCGGCGAACGCGCAAAATGTCTCCGCCGAGCGTTCACCGTCGTCGTAGCGCAGTAAACAGTTCCGTAGGATGCCGTAGGAGAATAAGTTAGCTATGCCTGGCTTAACCGCGTTCAATCGAAGGTGGAGTGTTGGATCTGACGATTTCGTTCTACCCGGCGCCATCTTATCGCTATTTCACTTAATATGGTAAATATCCTCGCGAAGACCCTCAAGACTTTGTGGGAATTCACTCCGATTTTCTTTTCCAGTGCCCTAATTCTAACGGGTGTGCTGTGCCTAACTGACTTTAAAAACTCGGATCACTGCGTACTTGAATTATGGATATTTAATATCGTTTACCTGTCTATAGTCCTGTTATGTTTAATGTTAGAGTTTTATATGTCGTGCGTATCATACAAGGGGAGTATTTTAAATACCGAGCCACGAAGTGCTGTCAAATATATACTGTATGTTAGGTTATGTAAGTACAACCCCTCCATCACCAGTTCATCATCTCCACTTTTTAGTGATTCTCAATGGAGAGATGGTTGTTCTCGGGTACGGAATTTACTGGACGGCCGTCAACTATCATACCTGTCCTGTTAACTATGCCAAAACAGTATTTTTAGGTAAGACCCAAGCGCAACGCTCTCAGTAATTGAAATTTACATTTTAGTTTTAATTACACTGAACTGGTTTACTATAATATGTATACTTGTAAATATATGGTGCGCCTACGATCCCGCCGGCAGGTCGTGGGTGAAAATGAAAGCGTATCAGAGATCCATGCGGGAATCGGAATCGAAGTATCAATACAAACGGTCCGGTAGTACAAGAAATTGGAGGCAAAGGTTCGTAGTTTACTTGTTTTCTTCTTCTTCACCGACCACATCCCTATTTTGGAATGGCTGCCATTGGTTCTTTTGCAGGAAGGTTATGAAAGCGTACCAGGACAGCTGGGATCAGCGATGCCGCCTTTTATTTTGTTGCATGCGTGCTACGGACACGAACCGCAACTCGTTTAGAGAAATAGCAAGACTGCTGTCGGATTACTTTCGCGATTTAGATGTTGTGCCGTCCGACGTCGTGGCCGGCATTATTTTATTGAGAATATACCAGAAGATCGAGAGGAGGGCGATCATCGAAAGGCGGAAGAACGACACGTACGAGTTCCTTTCGGGCGTGCCCGTGACGTCGAGTACCAAATTCTTGTCGCTTCAGGAGGGCGGGGCCGACCTGGAGCTGTTCCAGACGGTGATCAGGTACGTGCACTTCGCCGTCAGAGCGTACGGTTGGCCAATGTTCGTCATGACCAACAAGATGGGCTTGTGTCACATCTGCTCGAACGCCTCGTGCTGCTTTCCGAACGTGCGTAACGGCGTCGAGGTGGTCGAAGATAACTGCTGCAACTTCAACCGTGCCGCTTTACAAACACTGTCGGAGTTTGGCAACATTGAGATTATCTACGCGACGTACCACGTCGACATCGGAAAGACGCCGTTCTTCATCGCTCTGGATTACGACCGTGAGAAAATCGTGATCAGCATTCGAGGAACGCTGAGCATGAACGACATTCTTACCGATCTCAACGCGGAAGCGGAACGAATTCCTGTTGAACCGCTGCATGACGACTTCCTCGGACATAAGGGAATGGTGTCCGCTGCTGTGTACATATTGGAAAAAATTAGATTAGAAAAGCTACTCGAACGAGCTCACAACTACCGTACCTTTCTCGGCACTAAGGATTACGACCTGGTGATCGTGGGCCATTCTTTGGGAGCCGGAATCGCGAGCATACTAGGAATCATGCTGCGAAGGGAGTATCCCAATTTATCTTGCTATTGCTATTCGCCGCCAGGTGGACTCTTAAGGTAACCGTCTGTAACTAGCACTAGCCTTGGGTAATTTGTAAGTTACAGCATGGCTGCAATGGAGTACACCAAGTCCTTTACAACGGCGGTAGTTTTGGGCAAAGACGTCGTGCCAAGATTGGGACTCAACCAAATGGAGGCGCTTCGTGCAGATCTCATTAATGCAATCAAGAGAAGTGTAGATCCAAAGGTAAAATCCTCACCCTCATAAGGACGCATATCCGATACCCTACATTTCTGATATATTAAATCAGTTTTCCTATTTTTTTTTAGAAATTCTCGAAGCATAGCACAAACAGCTCCTTGAAATCATCTCTTAATATTTTCATTTGAATTTTTTTAAACATTGAGGTAAAGACCCTCAGAAGGACGCATATCCGATACCCTACATTTCTGATATATTAAATCAGTTTTCCTATTTTTTTTAGAAATTCTAGAAGCATAGCACAAACAGCTTCTTGTAATCATCTCATTATATTTTAATTTGTATTTTTTTTAACATTGAGGCAAACTCAGTTAGACCCTCAGAAGGACGCATATCCGATACCCTACATTTCTGATATATTAAATCAGTTTTCCTATTTTTTTTTAGAAATTCTCGAAGCATAGCACAAACAGCTCCTTGAAATCATCTCTTAATATTTTCATTTGAATTTTTTTAAACATTGAGGTAAAGACCCTCAGAAGGACGCATATCCGATACCCTACATTTCTGATATATTAAATCAGTTTTCCTATTTCTTTTTAGAATTTCTCGAAGCATAGCACAAACGGCTTCTTGAAATCATCTCTTAATATTTTAAATTGAATTTTTTTAAACATTGAAGTAAACTCAGACCCTCCCAAGGACGCATATCCGATACCCTACATTTCTGATCTATTAAATCAGTTTTCCTATTTTTTTCAGAAATTCTCGAAGCATAGCACAAACAGCTTCTGGAAATCATCTCTTAATATTTTAATTTGATTTTTTTAAATATTGAAGTAAACTCACTTATACCCTCACAAGAACGCGTATCCGATACCCTACATTTCTGATATGTTAAAGTATTCCTAATTTTTTTAGAAATTCTGGAAGCATAGCACAAACAGCTTCTTGAAATCATCTCTTAATATTTTAAATTGAATTTTTTTAAACATTGAAGTAAACTCAGTTAGACCCTCACAAGGACGCGTATCCGATACCCTACATTTCTGATATGTTAATCAGTTTTCCTAATTTTTTTTAGAAATTCTCGAAGCATAGCCCGAACAGCTTCTTGAAATCATCTCTTAATATTTTAATTTAATTTTTTTAAACATTGAAGTAAACTCAGTTAGACCCTCACAAGGACGCGTATCCGATACCCTACATTTCTGATATGTTAATCAGTTTTCCTAATTTTTTTTAGAAATTCTCGAAGCATAGCCCGAACAGCTTCTTGAAATCATCTCTTAATATTTTAATTTAATTTTTTTAAACATTGAAGTAAACTCAGTTAGACCCTCACAAGGACGCGTATCCGATACCCTACATTTCTGATATGTTAAATCAGTGTGCCTAATTTTTTTAGAAATTCTGGAAGCATAGCTCAAACAGCTTCTTGAAATCATCTCTTGATATTTTAATTTGATTTTTTTAAACATTGAAGTAAACTCAGTTAGACCCTCACACGGACGCATATCCGACACCCTACGTTTCTGATATATTAAATCAGTTTTTCCATTTTTTTTTTAGAAATTGTCGAAGCATAGCCCAAACAGCTTCTTGAAATCATCTCTTAATATTTTAATTTGAATTTTTTGAAATATTGAAGTAAACTCAGTTAGATCCTCACAAGGACGCATATCCGATACCCTACATTTCTGATATGTTAAATCTGTTTTCCTAATTTTTTTAGAAATTCTCGATGCATAGCTCTAACAGCTTCTTGAAATCATCTCTTAATATTTTAATTTGATTTTTTTAAACATTGAAGTAAACTCAGTTAGACCCTCACAAGGACGCGTATCCGATACCCTACATTTCTGATATGTTAAATCAGTTTTACTAATTTTTTTTAGAAATTCTCGAAACAGCTCAAACAGCTTCTTGAAATCATCTCTTAATATTTTAATTTGAATTTTTTTAAACATTGAGGTAAAGACCCTCAGAAGGCCGCATATCCGATACCCTACATCAGTTTTCTTTTAGTGGAAAATAATTTCGTGCGGCGTGATGTGTTGCTGTTGCGCGATCGAGCCGACTTCCGCCACGGAGCTGTCAACGGCCGACCAAGTGATGGCCGATTACATACAGGAGAAGCAGCAAACTCGAACGACAGGGGGCGTCCATCCCTCCGACAGCACGATCGCCCTCACGCGGCATCCGCCGATGTATCCGCCAGGTCGTGTCATCCACATCGTCCGGCACCACCCCACCAAGGACGAGTGAGTATCTGCATCACTGCGACGGACTCGATCATCCTTTTATGACATTACCATTACTATTTCAGACAAAAATATGAAAAGTCATGGAGGTAACTAATTATTTTAAGTAAACCCTTGTGATCGTGGTGTGTTTCGAGATTGCTCACTAAATCGCGAATCTCCGCCGTAGTTCGGAGGCGATTTAATGGGCAAAGCATGCATCTCCCTTCGGGTAGTCTCGCCGAGCAGCATGTTACACGTACCCCGCTTTGAAATATTTTCGAAAACTCTCCACCCATGACTGAATTGTCCGCGTAGCAGCACCTCATATTAAGCTTCCACTTCGCAAGCCGCGCATTAATTCGCTTCTACTCCGCAGGAAGGCGCTGTCGGGGAACGATCCTGTTTACCAGGCGATTTGGGCGGAGAACACGGATTTCGATGAGGTTCTCATCTCGCCGGTGATGATTCAAGATCACATGCCCGACACGTTACTTACGGCACTTAATAAGGTACAGAATGCGGAAGTGCGATACAGATTTTGACGTTAGCTGTAGTGACGAAGGCATGATTCCTGTCATCCTCATTTTTTTTTATTTGGACGTCTGTAGTATGTTAATTTTGTAATAAGTTTGACCATTAAATTTTATTTTTATTATGTCTTGTTAGTTTTAGGTTAATTCCTGACTGCACGGTACTGTATTATGAAATTAGAAACGATAAGCGACTTACAGTAATGGTCTTGTTTCGACTCAAATCCAAAGGTGAAATTTTGAAGGCAGTTGAGAGAATCAATTGATTATTTTGTATTCAAAAAATTGATTATTTCAATCAGTTAATGATAATCGATTATTAAACAATTGATTATTTTTATTTATCAATGATTTTTGACCCTTGAACTGGTTTGGTGATTTTACGATAATCGATTATGTACACGCGTATACGCAAAATTCACCTTTTGAACCTTTTGTTTCTCAATTTTCTTTAATTTAAACTATCCTCCGTGTCTGACAAATATCATGTTTTTCGAAACAAGCGAACAATTTGAATTTGTGTGGAGAATTTGGATTGTTGAATATCATAATAATAATACATAATCTAATTTCAAGACAAAAATATGAAAGAACAAACTACTGTCACTAGTTTAATACTGTGCGTATGTATATTTTTTACACGAACGAAGAATCAAACTCCCACTAGGTGGCTCCACAAGAGAATTGTCGACATCCGGAAATTGAAAAATTCAAATCTCCCGCACAATTTCAAATTTACCCCAACAAAATGGCCGACATCCGGAATTCAAAAATTTAAAACACCCCACACAAATTCAAATTTACCGCAACAAAATGGCCGACATCTGGAAATTCAAACCGATCGCCACAAAATAGCGCAGCCAATCACAACGCGGGGTCCGTTAACTTGGCCCCCCCACTGAGAGATTTCATAGTCGTATTATTTTGAAATGAATGCGCTCGTTATGCGCTCATATGCGCCACCGATAATAACTCTTGCGCCATTATCGTTTTTTAGAAATCCGAAAAAACATTTGGGGGGGGCAAGTGAACGTAGCCCCCCAGTACGTATTTTGTTCCTTGTAACTAGGTCACCTGATACATTTGGTTATGCGCTCAATTGCGCCACTTGAATTAAAGCTAGCGCCATTACGGTTAAGCCATAAAAAATTTTTAAAAAGTGGAGGGTCTAACTAAGCGTTTTCAAAAGTTATTTCCGGAAGTGCGTCCATTTTGAAAATATTTTACATCGATTCGGCCTTCGGAGTAACTCCTAAATACAAATTTTTAAAAACCTACCTATTTTACTTTCTCAGAATCGTTTAACTAAAGCTCCCAAAAAACACCCTGTATAGTGTTTCTGAAACACTATAATGGCGCCAAGATTTTTGTTTACGGCGCATTTTAGCGCATGATGAAAGGTACGATGTAGTAGAAAAAACATGTTAAAAAACGTAACTTTTGAAAACGTTAAGTTAGCCCCCCCCTTTTTAAAAATTTTTTATGGCTTAACCGTAATGGCGCTAGCTTTAATTCAAGTGGCGCAATTGAGCTCATAACCAGATGTATCAAGTGGCACAAATACCGGTAGCAAAATGCGTTATGAGGGATTCCGTTCACTTGCCCCCCCCCCCCAAATATATTTAAGGATAACCAAAAAACAATAATGGCGCAAAGATATCTTTTTACGGCGCATTTCAGCGCATACCTGAGAGTACAATTTCGTATGAAAAGATGTTAAAAAAAAGTAACTTTTAAAAACGTTAAGTTGGCCCCCCCACTTTTTGAAAATTTGTCACGGCTTAACCGTAATGGCGCTAGCTTTAATTCAAGTGGCGCAATTGAGCGCATAACCAAATGTATCAGGTGACCTAGTTACAAGGGACAAAATACGTACTGGGGGGGGGGGGCTACGTTCACTTGGCCCCCCCAAATGTTTTTTCGGATTTCTAAAAAACGATAATGGCGCAAGAGTTATTATCGGTGGCGCATATGAGCGCATAACGAGCGCATTCATTTCAAAAAATACCTATGAAATCTCTCAGTGGGGGGGGGGGGCCAAGTTAACGGGCCCCACAACGCGCAGCACGTGTGACGTCATAAAACGGTGGAGGGGATAGCGGAATGAATTCTACTACCCCTAGTGCCGCAGTCTTAATTAGATATAATCGGCGGTTGCTATCTGTAACTGATTCGCCTAATTATGGTTAATTATACTCATCTAAATAGTCGGAATGAAATCTCCAAATTTGGCAATCCAGCAATGCCAATGTACGGTAATTAACTAACCTAAAACTAAATAAAATCGATTTTCTCTCTTGTTCCCTGGAAGAGAGATTTCGGCGGCTGTAAAACAATTTAAATATTCGTACAGGAACGGTGGCAAAACTGCTAACTTAACTACTTAACAGGTAAACAATTAAACAAAATGAAACCACACAACGCTCACTCCTCGTTTCCAAGAGCAAATAAGTAAATTCAGAAACGCTTCTAGATACCGAGTGTTCAGCAAAACCGGTCGACTTTACAAATGTACGGTGTGGTCACAACTTCGGGTATGAACTTCAGGGCGAAAAACAGGTGCTTCGTTACAATTTAAAAGAATTTAATCTTCAACGTAATTTCAAGGGAAAATAGGACGTTAACGGACTAACGAAATGTCAAGAACATTTCTGAAAAATTTCAAGAAAATTTGAAAAGGATGGTAGGAAATGGTCGCTACCTTTTCTGATCACATACTGGATGAGTCATTTTACGAAGTTAGAATTTGACGAGACACTTTCAAGAATCAACAAGATTTAAAACAAATTAAAGAAATTTTAGATTTAATTTAATAAAACTTTAAAATACTTTCAAGAATCATAAAGATTTTTAAGAAACTTAAAAGGATTTTAGGGGAAGCAGTATTGGCTGAAAGCCCGCTCACTCAAAAATATAAAAATATAAAAATATAAAAATATAAAAATATAAAAATATAAAAATGTAAAAATATAAAAATATAAAAATATAAAAATATAAAAATATAAAAATATAAAAATATAAAAATATAAAAATATAAAAATATAAAAATATAAAAATATAGAAATATAAAAATATAAAAATAGATTTCCAATGTAATTTTAACAAAAAATGATTTTCAATAGGATTTCAAAGGAACAAAGAAATTTCAAGAGAATTTTTGAAACGAAAACAATTGTAGATAATGTCGCTACGATTTTACGAATTTAAAACTTAACATGAGACTAATTTCATGTGAATTTAAGTAAATTTGAAAATAATTGATAGTGAATCTTAAGAAATCTTTAAAACACCTTCAAAAACCAAAGATTTAAAAAATTGTCACTACCCTAACCGGGCGCATTTGGATGAGTCGTTTGGCGAAGTTGACACCTCAAATAGTTGCATTCATGAGATTAACTACCTGAATTTATGTGAATTTGAACAATTTTAACGTAATTTTTCAATAGGACTTTAAAGAAACAGAAATTTCAAGAGGATTTTTGAAGAATTTCAAAAAAATTGTAGGTATTGTCACTACTCCACCCGATCGCAACTTTGTTATGGATATTTACTAAATTAGAATTTGACGCCCCAAAGAATCATAAACCTTTTTAAAAATTTAAAGGAATATTAAAAGATTTTCAATGTAATTTTAAAAGGAAATAGTTTTCACGCAATGAAAATTTCTAAAGAATTTCAAGAACATTTGAAAACTGTAGGTGTATTGCTACTATCCTAATCGATCAAATACTTTGTAATGGACGAGTTAATTTGAAACGAAAATGTAAGTGAATTTGGAAATAATTTCTAGTGAATTTTAAGAAAAAAAACTTTAAAACACTTTCAACAATAATATATTTAAAAAAAATTGAAGTTTCGAGAAATTTCATGAAAATTTGAAAACACTTCAAGAATTTAAGTTTCAAGCGATTTTTAACATAATTTCAGGAAAAAATAGTTTTCAATAGGACTTTAAAGAAACAAAGAAACTTCAAGAAAATTTTTGAAAAATTTCGGGACTAATTTCACGTGAGTGCAAGTGAATTTGAAAATAATTTCTAGTGAATCCTAAGAAATCTTTAAAACACTTTCAAGCATCATAAAGATTTAAAAAAAATTAAGAGAATTTCAAGAGATCTGGATAATTAAAAACAAATTTTACGGTTGTTTCAAGAAAATGTTTAGGGAACGTATTAAAAGTTCCAGAAAAGGTGTAATTTTTATGAAAATTCAGTTCTGAAGTCTAATCTAATCGATAGAAATTTTTAAAGAAATTCAAAAAATTTCTTCAGCAAAACTACAAGGGAATCTTAAGGATAGGACAGTTTAATTTGATGCCCCAAAGAGTCATAAACCTTTTTAAACATTTAAAAGAATATTAAAAGATTTTCCAAGTGATTTTAAGTTCAAATGGTTGTCACGCAAAGAAAGTTTCTAAAGAATTTCAAGAAAATTTGAAAACTGTAGGTATTGCCACTTAATTTGAGAGGAGAATGTAAGTGAAACTTTAAAACACTTTCAACAAAAAATATATTTTAAAAAAATTGAAATAATTTCAAGAAATTTCGAGAAATTTCATGAAAATTTTGAGAGATTTTTTTGAAAATTTGAAAACACCAAGAATTTATGTTTCAAGAGATTTTTAACGTAATTTCAGGAAAAAATAGTGTTCAATAGGATTTGAATAGGGTTTGATGCCCCAAAAAGTCATAAACCCTTTAAAAATTTACGAGAATATTAAAAGATTTTTAAAGTAATTTTCAAAAATAATATTTTTTTAAGAATTTCAAGAGAATTTTTTGAAAATATGAAAAAGCCAAGAATTTAAGTTTCTAGCGTTTCAAACTTCCAATACAATTTCAGCAAAACTCCTGGATTCAAGAGAATACCAAGAGGATATCAGGCGAATCTCAAAAAGGAAAAATTATAAAGCTGTTTTTAAGGAAATTCTTAGAGAATCTCAATGGATATTTCAACGCAATTTCAGCTAAATATTAGGA